GGTATCTGTGGATACCTGCCGGTCGGATGGCCCGGATGCAGGTATCTATTGGCCCGGATGAATCCGGATGCAGATAAGGAATTTTGAAATGAAAAAACCGGCCGGTTCGGATGACGGATATCTGCAGATGCATCCGTGGTCAGCCTTATGTTTATTTCTGCAACGTTCACAATTTCCCTTATAAACCTACACCCGATATTGTCAGTTTCTATATTGTTTGGCTTTGTAACAACGACGTACAGCACGTCGATCCGAAATCGGTGGACAAATACCTCTCTGGTATCTGCAACGAGCTCGAGGACTTTTATGATGATGTTCGGGCAATCCGAAACCATTGCATGGTATGGAAAACCCTCCGAGAATGTCGCCGTTTATACAGCAAACCCACCAAAAGAAAATCACCTCTTTCCATTTCTGATCTGGCTCTAGCAGTGAAGCATTACCGTCATCGGCACAATCATGACGATCTACTTTTTCTTGCTTTGCTGCTGACGGGTTGGTTTGGTTTACTTCGCCTTGCAGAGCTGTGCCTTCCTGATGTCAGGAAGCACCAAAACCTACGAAAACGGACGAGACATGATTTGGTGAAGTGGTATCTGCAAGGGTATGGTTTTGATCTACCTCAACACAAGGCAGATCCTTTCTTCGAAGGAAACAAAGTTGTTATTCGTCGTCATGCCCGTTTCCCCACCGAGATTGATCCATGATTACATCAAATCTCGCGATAGCCGTTTTCCCACCCATTGGCAGCTTTGGCTGCAAGCAGATGGTTCTATGCCCACCCGCTCTTGGTTCATGGATAGGCTGAAGAGCTTGTATAACCGGCATGACATCGCAGGTCAGTCTATCCGTTCTGGCGGTGCTACTGGCCTAGCAGAAATTGGTGTCCCCCTTCACCTTATTCGTGCCTCTGGTCGTTGGGCCTCTGAGACTTTTCACATCTATATCCGCAAAAATCCCACTTTCCTCACCGCCCTTCTGCTCCAATAACTCCTCTCATCAACGGCATGCTCTCATCATTCATCTTTCATCATCAAAACTTCCATAGGCTCCATAGCGGTTGCTCACATGCCCCGTTTGTAATCCATTCCGGCCCCGGGGACGCCTGCCCTGGGGCGTGTTTGCCTATTCATGATCAGAGCCGAAGACAAACAAATGATTGGTTGACGGTAAATTTTGAATTTACCTAGATCAATATTGTGAGTCCTAGGACTCAAAGGGTGCACATCGCTACGTGCCTTTACTGCCCTCAAGTCGTTTCGCTAAACGACTCAGTTGCGTCGCATGCAACTTATTCTCTGCACCGCTGTGCAAATCTCTAGCCGCGCTCGGCATAGTACCGGAATTTTCCGGTCATGTGGGTACAGCGGTCATGAGTATCGAGTCTTTCACTCTTCTTGCTCACTGCCCGCTGTACCCAGGTATGTTTTATATGCGTTATCCAGCTCTTCTTGCTCACTGAACGTTGTATACACAGTGTTTCATCGCTTATCCACCCACCCACCCTGTATAATGCATGATTTTGTATTTCCCATTCAGGCCGTTAGCTTACCATAAAATGTAATGCTCAAGTTGTATCTCCCTTTCAGGCCGTAGTATTACCATCCAATGTAACCTCCGGTTTATTTCTGTCTACTCTATTTACTGCTACTGTACCATACTCTCCCGCCTCTCGTATTCTGTACTTATATCTGTGTAGCGGTTGCTCGCATGCCCCGTTTGTAATCCATCCCGGCCCTCGGGACGCCTGCCCTGGGGCGCGTTTGCCTATCATCATAACATGAGCCGAAGACAAACAAATGATTGGACGAAAGAAACGCCTGATTTGAGACAACGATAGCCCAGGGTTCGATTCCCTCTAGCCCAATAGAAATGCATGAATGAACATGAAGTAGATTATAATCGTGAACAAATGTTGGTTTTGTACGGTCGATAACTTCCCTTTTTGGAACGATCGGACCGATCGTAAGCAGGCCGTCAATTACTTTAGCGTTTGGCACCCTCAACCCCAATATCTAGGGGGTGTGTACCATGACTTGAGGTCCAGAGGCCGTAGAGTAGAATCTGAAAAGACGGGACATGTCGAAAGCAGATGGGACTGATGTGGTCTGTGGCCTGTGTGTTAGTCCGCCACCCTGCTGCGAGTTGCGGCTCAATTTGCACCAGATCCTTGAGGACGCGGATTCTTGTTTGTCTCATTGCTTGTTTTTTTGTCTTTCTTTATCTTTCTCTGTGTCCTCAAGGATCTGAGTACGAGACTACCATCTCTGATAGAATCAGATGGATACGATACATATGAGGTGAAGTCTTCCGAGCACCCTGCACTGCTCTATCAGCTCAATCACGGATACAATGATGTGTTTATAACACTGCAGTGCAGTTCTGAGCCATGAGTTTAGAGTGACTGTTACCAAGTACCGTTGATTGGTGTGGGTACAAGTTGGGACAAAGTGAAAGCGACCCCGTCAAAGTTCCGCACAGGAAAAGATTGAATAGAGCTTTATGTACGTTGTCCGTTTTCAAAAATATTGTGAAAATCAATGAAAGACTGATTCATGCATCAAGAGGGAATCGAACCCCCGGCGGGTCGAAGCTCACTTGTTTTACTGCTAAGCGAAAATGTATGGCAACGACCCAGGTTACCACTGCGTACGTTAAACAGGCAGTAGATAGATGTTGGTTTTGTCCAGTCGATCACATTCATTTTTCCCTCCCTTTTTTAGATCGATCGATCGGTACCGATCGATAAGTAGGCCGTTCAATTACTTTAGCGTTTGGCCGCCCAACGCTACTTAATCTGCGCCGTGCGCCATGGGTAGAGAGAGCATGAAAAAACGGGACGTGTCAAAGGCAGATGCGACTGATGTCGTCTGTGGCCTGTGTGTAGTCCGCCACCCTGCTGCTCGCTGCTCAATTTGCGGCAGATCTTTGAGCCTTGAGGACGCGGATTCTTTGTTTGCCTCATTCCTTGTTTTTCTTCATTTTTTCCCCGTGTCCTCAAGGATCTGGGTACGAGATTACCATCTCTGATGGAATCAGATGGATACGATACATATGAAGTACCGGTAAGTCTTCCAGCACACTCTGCACTGCTCTATCGGGTCAAGGATACAATGATGTGTTCTGAGCTGAGTTTAGAGTTAAGTTTAGAGTCAACTGTTACCAAGTACGTTGATTGGAGTGGGTATACTTAGTTGGACAAAGTGGATTTGGATTGGTCCCCTCTAAAAAGATTGAACAGATATCAATTAAAAGTGGTCAAATAATCCATAGTATCAACGACTACGTAGTACACACAGAAGTAATTATTCACGTATAAAATGGAATGGTATGTTGTCCGTTTTCCAAAAAGATAATATGAGCATGAGTGCATCAAGAGGGAATCGAATCCCCGGTGGGTCGAAGCTCAGTTATAAATGGGACGGACACATACATGGCAACGACCCAGGTTACCACTACCCCATTGATGCGTACGTTAACAAGATGTTAGATGATGAACAAATGTTCGGTTTTTGTCCAGTCGATCACGTTCAGTATTCGATATTCAAATTCCTTTTTCCATCCATCCCTTTTTGGAACGATCGGACCGATCGTAAGCAGGCCGTCAATTACTTTAGCGTTTGGCCGACTTCAACCCCAATCTAGGGAGCGTATGCCATGACTTGAGCCGTAGAGTAGAGAGAATGAGAAAACGGGACATGTCGAAAGCAGATGCGACTGACGTGACCCAGCTGTTGCCTGTGTGTAGTCCGCCACCCCTCCTGCTGCTCGCTGCTCAATTTGCCCCAGATAATTGAGGACGCGGATTTTTGTCTCATTGCTTGTATTTTCGCTTTCTCTATTTATTCCCCGTGTCCTCAATGATCTGGGTACGAGACTACCATCTCTGATGAAATCAGATGGATACGATACATACGAGGTGAGGTCTTCCAGCACACTCTGCTGCACTGCTCTATCAGTTCAATCACGGATACGAACTTTGATGTGTTTTATACACTGCAGTTCTGAGATGAGCTTAGAAGTTAGAGTGACTGTTACCAAGTACCGTTGATTGGTGTGGGTACAAATTGGGACAAAGTGAAATTGACTCTCCCTCAAAGTTCCGCACAGGAAAAAAGATTAAAAAGAGCCTTGTGTATGTAGTCCGTTCTCTAAAATCTTATCAAAGAAGGGTTGGATGCATCAAGAGGGAATCGAACCCCCGGCGGGTCGAAGCTCAATGGGACACAATGTCGATGGCAACGACCCAGGTTACCACTACCCCATTGATGCGTACGTTAAATGGCAGTAGATGGATGTTGGTTTTAATTTGTCCAGTCGATCACATTCATTTTTCATCCCTCCCTCCCTTTTTGGATCGATCGATCGTACCGTTAATATAAGCAGGCTGTCAACTACTTTAGCGTTTGACGCCCTCAATCTTAATCTAGGGGCATGCGCCATGACTTGAAGTCCAGAGGCCGTAGAGTAGAAAGAGAATGAAAAGACGGGGACGTGTGTCTGATGTCAAAGGGCAGATGCGACTGACGTGGCCTGTGGCTGTGCGTAGTTCCGCCCCCTTGCTGCTCAACTTGCACCAGATCTTCGAGGACGCGGATTTTTGTTTGTCTATTGCTTTTTTTTGGTTCTCTTTATTTTTCCCCCGTGTTCTCAAGGATTTGGGTACGAAAATTACCATCTCTGATCAATGATGGAATCAGATGGATACTACAACATATGGAGTGAAATCTTCCAGCACACTCTGCACTGCTCTATCGGGTCAATCACGGATACAATGATGTGTTTATAACACTTCAGTTCTGAGCCATGAGCTTAGAGTGCACTGTTTACCAAGTACCGTTGATTAGTGTGGGTACAAGTTGGGACAAAGTGAATTGACCTCGTCAAAGTTCCGCACAGGAAAAAAGATTGAAAAGAGCCTTATGTATGTTGTCCCGTTTTCTAAAATATTGTGTAAAATCCAACATACGAGTGCATCAAGAGGGAATCGAACCCCCGGCGGGTCGAAGCTCATTTATTCAAACATACCCTATGGCAACGACCCAGGTTACCTCTACCCCATTGATGCGTGCATGAACATGAAGTACATGTAGATTATAATCGTGAACAAATGTTAGCTTTGTCCAGTCGATCAGGTTCAGTATTCATGAATTCATATTCAAATTCCTTTTTCCATCCCTCCCTTTTTGGAACGATCGGACCACATCAATATAAGCAGACTTAGCGTTTGGCGCCCTCAACTCTAATCTAGGGGGCATGCGCCATGATTTGAGGTCCAGAGGCCGTAGAGTAGAGAGAGAATGAAAAGATGGGACGCGTGTCAAAGGACTGACGTGACCCAGCTGTGGCTTGAGTTTAGTCCGCCACCCTGCTGCTCGCTGCTCAATTTGCGCCAGATCATATCTTTGAGGCGCGGATTATTGTTTGTCTCATTGCTTGTTTTTCTTTAGCTTTCCCTGTGTCCTCAAGGATTTAGGTACGAGATTACCGTCTCTGATCAATGATGAAATCAGATGGACACTACAACATCTGGGGTGAAATCTTCCAGCACACTCTGCACTGCTAGCGCTCTATCAGCTTAATCACGGATACAATGATGTGTTTTATACACTGCAGTTCTGAGCTGAGGTTAGAGTGACTGTTACCAAGTACGTTGATTGGAGTGGGTATACTTAGTTGGGACAAATTGGATTTGGATTGACCTCCCTCAAAAAGATTGAACAGAAGTTATGTGAAAGTGATCAAATAATCCATAGTATCAACGACTACGTAGTACTACACAGAAGTAATTATTCACGTATAAAAGGGAATGTATGTTGTCCGTTTTCCAAAAGTGAAGTCTGCTTGCATTAGGGAATGCATCAAGAGGGAATCGAACCCTCGGCGGGTCGAAGCTCAGTTATAGATGGGACAGTCATGAACATGGCAACGACCCAGGTTACCACTACCCCATTGATGCGTGCATTAACAGAGTGTTAGATGATCAACTTCAACAAATGTTCGGTTTTGTCCAGTCGATCACGTTCAGTATTCGATATTCAAATTCCTTTTTCCATCCCTCCCTTTTTGCAATGATCGGACCCATCGTACCGTTAATACAGGCTTAGCGTTTGGAGCCCTCAACCTTAATCTAGCCGGGGGCATGCGCCATGATTTGAGGTCCAGAGGCCGTAGAGTAGAGAGAGAATGAAAAGACGGGGACGTGTCGAAAGCAGATGGGACTGACGTGACCCGGCTGTGGCCTGTGTGTAGTCCGCCACCCTGCTGCTCGCTGCCCAATTTGCGCCAGATCATATCTTTGAGGCGCGGATTCTTGTTTGTCTCATTGCTTGTTTTTCTTTATCTTTCCCTGGGTCCTCAAGGATTTGGGTACGAGATTACCATTTCTGATCATTGAAGTCTTCCAACACTCTGCACTACTCTATCAGGTCAATCAAGGATACAATGATCGTGTTTATAACACTGCAGTTCTGAGCTGAGTTTAGAGTGCACTGTTACCAAGTACCGTTGATTAGTGTGGGTACAAGTTGGGACAAAGTGAATCGACCTCGTCAAAGTTCCGCACAGGATTAAAAAGATCGAAAAAAGTCTTATGTATGATGTCCGTTTTCTAAAAACTTTGGAATGATTTGAGTGCATCAAGAGGGAATCGAACCCCCGGCGGGTCGAGTCTTGGGATGCAATGTCCATGGCAACTACCCAGGTTACCACTACCCCATTGATGCATGCATTCAGCAGGCTGTAAGTAGTACTAGATGATGAACAGATGTTCGGTTTTTTGTCCAGTTGATCAACATTTCCATCCCTTTTTGGAATGATCGATCGGACTGATCGGTAAGCAGGCCGTCAATTACTTTAGCATTTGGCCGCCCTCAACCCCCAATCTAGGGGGCATGCGCCATGACTTGAGGTCCAGAGGCCGAAGAGTAGAGTCTGAAAAGACGGGGACGTGTCAAAGGGCAGATGAGATGCGACTGATGTGTGGTCCGTGGCCTGTGTGTAGTCCTCCTGCTGCTCAATTTACATCCATTGCTTGTCTTTTGATTTTTTCCCCGTGTCCTCAAGGATCTGAGTACGAGACTACCATCTCTGATGGAATCAGATGGATACTACAACATATGGAGTGAAATCTTTCGAGCACCCTGCACTGCACTATCGGTTCAATCACGGATACAAATGATGTATTTTATACACTGCAGTTCTGAGTTGAGGTTAGAGTGCACTGTTACCAAGTACGTTGATTGGAGTGGGAATATGTAATTACTTTTGGGTAGGTAGTCGTTGATACATTGGATTATTTGACCACTTTTACAAAAGAGCTGTTCAATCTTTTTGAAGGGAGGGTCAATCCAAATCCACTTTGTCACGTATAAAGAGTATGTATGTTGTCCGTTTTCCAAAAATACGATGAAGGAATCGCACTGATGCATCAAGAGGGAATCGAACCCCCGGCGGGTCGAAGCTCAGTTATCAATGGCACGATGCTACGCATGGCAACGACCCAGGTTACCACTACCCCATTGATGCGTGCATAAACAGTCAGTAAGGTCATGATGTGAACTTGTACGGTCGATCACGCCGTTCAGTATTCAAATCTCCCCTTTTTGGAACGATCGGTCCGATCGTACCGTTTAATAGGCCGTCAATTCAATTATCGTTTGACGCCCTTAACCCTAATCTAGGGGGCCAAGGCGAAGTGGGGGATGTATTTGAAATACATTTTATAGCCCTTTTCTCGTTTTGACGTGACAGATTTTTTCCTTCCTCCTCCTTGTTGTTCCCCTTCCTCTTCCTCCAGTTTCTCCTTTCACACATACGCTTAGAGCACCGTGGTATAAACCCAAAAACCGAACTAGTCCAAACCAAGAAAAAAAGGTTAAATAGAGAAAGACTAGAGAGAAAATGTCTACTACCGAATCCACCACCACCTCCACTGGTACCTCCTCTCCCAACCCCTCTCCCCCAACAACCCACCCTTCTCACAACAGCAACGGCTCCGCCAATCCCAATCCCAATCCCAATCCCGCCCTTCTTACTCCACCCGCAGAACCTCTCAACCCCGCTCCGTTCGACAAGCTCCCATACAAACTAGACCCGAACTGGAAGCCCGAACCCGGCCACGTAGGTAATCTAACGGAGGAACAGCAAAAGGCGTTGGACGAGTTGAAGGAGGAGATTAAGAAGGCTGGGGCGTGGGTTGAGGAGAGGATGGATGATGCGATGGTGTTGAGGTACGCGTGTCCCTTTTGATGCGAGTGTTTTTGGCGGTTTTTGTGTTTTGGCTTTTGGTCGTTTCGTCGGTTATTCTTATCCACCTCGCCTTTTTTGCATGTTCTGTTAAACGCTTCTCCCTTCCATCACCCTTTTTTTTTCGCTTTTTTCGCTTTGTCTCTCCAAGATATAACGAGCCCTAACACGTTATCCATCACCACTCTAGGTTCCTAAGAGCCCGAAAATGGAACGTCGCCAACGCCAAGACGATGTTACTCTCCGCCGAGCAATGGAGGAAAGATTTCGGTGTTGACGAAATCATGAAGTACGTCTCTGTTACGTTTTTTTCTTTGTTCACTGCCCCCCCTCTGACTTTCTCAATCGTTTTCCTTTCCTTCTTCCGACTCTTTCCCTCAACACTCTTTACTCCTAACTCGATAATCACTTTTGCTTCCGTTTTTGTATAAACCGCTCATAAAAAAACTCTCAATCCACTCCCAACCCTTCCACAGATCGTTCGACTTTAAGGAGAAGGAAGAAGTGGACAAGTATTATCCTCAGTTCTATCACAAGACGGATGCCGTATGGTTCTTTTCCTTTCTTTCTTTTTTTTTTTTTTGCTTCCATCATTGTCTTGTTCGTGTGTGTCCGCAGCAGCTAATAATCCCTCTCTCTCTTTTTTCTCCCCTTCCTTGTTCCTGGCCCACCCCTCTTCTGCACCCTGCGACCTCCTGAACAACAAACCCACACTCCAACTTCATTCCCCCCTCACAAAAACAGCACGGTCGCCCAATCTACATCGAACGCCTCGGTTTCCTAGACATCAAAGCCCTCACCGCCTGCACCTCCCTCGACCGTCAACTCCAACGCCTAGTCTACGAATACGAAATCTTCCTCACCCACCGTCTCCCTTACACCTCCCTCTCGCACCACCACCCCGTAGAAACCTCCTGTACAATCCTAGACCTCTCAAACGTCTCCCTCTCCAACTTCGTCAAAGTGCGAGAATACGTAGCACGGGCAGCGGAGATCGGACAGGAAAGGTATCCGGAAGTGATGGGTCGGTTTTTTATTGTGAATGCGCCTTGGGTGTTTGGGGCGGTTTGGGGGGTTGTGAAAGGGCTGGTTGGATCCGGTTACGATTGGGAAGGTTAGGATTTTGGGGAGTGGGGAGAGGGAGTGGAGGGTGTTGAGGGAGGAGGTGGGGGGGATGGGTGGGCTGGGGAGTGTTTGCCGGAGAGTTTGGGGTTGGGGGAGGTGTAGGTGTTTGGAGTATGCGAAGAGTGGGGAGGGACAAGGTGGAGAGGATGGAGAGAAGAAGGAGGAGTGGTGTTTGGGAAGTGATGCGGGGCCTTGGAATCCTCCTCCGCAGAAAGTCACGGTGCAGGCGTAGAGAGAGAGAGATTCTTTTTCTGGGTATATGCGAGTTTTTTCTCTTTTGTCGTATCCCATAGGGCTTTTATTTCCTTTTTTCTTTTTTTCTTCCCTTTAATCCCTCCACACCGTAATTTTCGTACGCATACATACGCACAGTTCATGTCTTGCCGAACGTTTCATTTCCTAATCCAATTTGTACATACACAAGACGCATTTACCCAATTCCAAAAACCCTTTTTTAGTGACCATTCCTCGTCTGCGTCTACGTCTACGTCTACGATCTATCCTCAAATCCATTACCATACTTGCAACTCTTCACAGTCTTCTTCTCTCCTCCCTGGTTTTTTTCTTTCTTTCTGGTTGGTTGAACGATTAGATTTCTTAAAGTCAGGATTAAGGATCAAATACAACTTCATACACATGGATTCCGGGACGAAAGATATACCCTTTTCTTTCCTTACCTACCTGCCTTGGACTATGCATATTCTTATACATACGCTCGTAGTATCTAGTACAGTACTCGATAAGACTTTCTCATTGGGGATAACGCACGTTCGTTCGTTCAGTCCGTGCTCGTTCTTGGGAGTATCGATAGACTAGCCATGGTTGTATAGTTTCATTGAATAATAATGGCGCGTGCGTCAGGTGAGTCCGCTAGTACACAAACGTTCCTCCGAATCATTCGGACGAGTATGCCACGGGATCCGAAGCAAAATTAAATCGCGGAAACTTGCCGTTTTTTTTGATTGCCGCGCACTTTTTATGTCATTTTTGACCTCCGCAACGCACTTTCAGCGTGACATGTGACATGTCAAAAATCGCAACTCTAGCTCATTCGCAAACTTGTTCAGGTAGTAAACCTTTTTGGCTCATGGGTATATGTTAGTACACGGCATATTTCGAAATCGGGACTGTATATGTTAGACATATGCCATTTTCCTTAAATAACAACATTTTCCATACTCGGGCATATGTCTACCTAGTTTTTTTTGCAGGTTTGTGGATAATATTGTCTCTTTTGCTTGGCTACATACTATGAGACCTTCATATGATGCAGTAGGTAGTTTCCCTGTCTACCTCACAGTTATTATGATTTACAATAGCCATATGCATGTAAGAAATTGAAGATTCAGCACCATCTTAGTGACTGCCACTAAATTATTATTTAACAATAGCTTTGTGGACATGAGATAATGGTTGACTATTATAATCTAAGTAGACTGTCTCTAGGTCAATGTGCAAAGTACAGAACTTTCTTTATTCTTTTTTAACTGTACTCACAAGCTTAGAGTAGTCTGTAAGACAAGGATACAAGATACATAGCTACTACACAAGAGGGTATCCTTTATTTAATTGGGTATCACTTATGCACATGAGTGTGTGTGCAAAAAATGCAATGAACAGATGAGTGCAATCACCAGCATTTTTTCTTCTGCACTTTGCACTCATGCACATAAGTGATACCTAATAAAGTAAAGGACCCTTTTTTAGTAGCTATGTATCTGTTTCTTACAGACTAACAATCTGTCTGAGCTTGTGAGTACATAGTTAAAAAAATGAAAAAAGTTCTTCTGTACTTTGCACATTGACTCCTAGAGACAGAGTCTACTTAAATATAATAGTCAACCTTGAGTCAACCATTATTTCATACCCACAAAAGTATTGTTAAGTAATGATATACTAATGGCAGTCATTAAGATAGTGCCAAATCTGTTTTTCTTACATGCATATGGCTAGTACAAATTTATAATTGTGAGGTAGAGAGGAACAGTATCTGCTGCATCATATGAAGATCTCATAGTATGTAGCTAAGCAAAACAGACACTAATATCACTC